ACACGTCCGCCATTACGTTGCGACCTGACTTCATACCAAAACTTAATGAGACGAGCGATAAGCGACGAAGGGGCCTCGAGCGGATGAGCAGAAAGTCAGCCAAACGAGAGGGCGGTTAAGTTTACTAAAGGATACACTTGTGTGTCTCGTTGCTGGCTCTCAGACTCCGGAAACGCAAAAGGAAGTGACATAAAAATTAAACGATGAAGCATAAAATGCTAATTAAATAGCAAATGGAAACGTTTTGATTTGAAGAAGACGCAAGAAAAGAAAATATAAAGAGAAAAAGGACCGTTGAGTGTACGTAGTAACTAAGCACTTCTAGTAGAGAGCGCTGGCGGCATAATGAGTTTATGGAAGGCAAAAGCACAAGAAAACGACTGAAAGGAAACGGAAAATTAATTAAAACAAAAAGGCAGTAAGAATAACAAGGGCACAGGGCAGAAGATCAGTGTGCACAGTGAAGAATGGCTGGCAATTTATCAATATGTGTATATTTAAATAAAAGTAAAGTAAAAAACACACAAAAACAGTTGATGCTAAATCAGTGAAAGGTGGAACGGCAAATTTATGTATGAAATTAAGAAAATGAGGGTAGGAGCTTAGCAACAACAAATAACACAAAAATTAATAAGTTAGCAGCTTAAAGAAGCTATTATGCAAATTCACTTTATTAAAGAACTCTCCTTAGAGTGAGAAACCCGTTTACGGACTAAACCGCTCGTCTGTAGCAATTTAGAAAGTAGAATCGATTTCATTAAATAACTACTGAACAAAAAGACTTTGTATACAAAGTGGAAACAATATCAATTGTGTTTGTATAACAGTAATTAATGTGAAGCACTCCATCGTTGGCAATTATAATTGCTGTTTTAATAAATCATCGAAAATTGGCACAAGTCTTTAAAAACTAAAGCGAAAGGAGTTTATGACATTGTAACTGCTTGTTTAGGGTAGAAGGTCAATGGCACTACCTAACATACCATGTAATCAGTCTTTGGAATATTTGTTTGAATGTTCTTGTGAAGTATAAACCAGCTAGAAGTCGTTAGGCTACTTCAAATCTCTTGGGGTAGCAGAATTTTGCCCAGATCCAGATTTGAACCCTCGGTGCACACAAACCAATCTCTCCCAATTGCCCATAGTGTTTGCTCAATTCTATAAAATTGACATTAGTTTTCCTAGAACCAAAATATGTGCCATAACGGCAGTTAATACCATAACTTCATTCCTTAGAAAGTCAATAATAATATTCATAACCTTCTTTAAGCTAGATTATTCACTAAGTATATTGTTCTACAGAACTAGAAAGTTAAGCAATTAAAGTTATATTTTTGCATTCGTATTGGAATTACTACATTCAACTTTTTTATTTCTCTTCCATGGAAAAATTACTGTAGATATATACATACAAATATATACATATATAAATTCAATTAAATAGCGTTTATAGCCGCTAAGGATGTGATACAAATTACTTGTAGGGAAGAAAGTTGCGGCAGCGCTGAACGGAAATAATGAAAATTATAACAAAGCATGAAAAAGAAATCAGAAAAAGTGTATATACACATTAATCTCATTAGCATTAATGATGCGCTGAGCAACAACAACATTGTGAACCACGTAGTATCATTCAAGTGAGCTGGATATTACAGTAAAAGCTCTCCCAATCAAATTATGGCAAGGATGAATTAATTGAAATATATTCCAAATATATAATACATACATATGTACATATATTGGCAATGATCCACATTTCACTGGCGATTAATATAAAAACGTAGATTAAAGTTCAGAGCTTCCTAGCATTCGATTTGGCTCGTGTTCAAAGCTCAATGTCGACTAGCAATTGTATATACATAAGTAAATATAAGCAATAAAGTGGGTTTCTTTACAGCGATCCAAAAAAAGTGAAAATGGCGTATGCGGGAAATGTTCTACGGATCATTTTAGGGATTATAAAACTGTTTTTGCTCAGTTAGGCAAAGTTGTTCGGAATGGTCCGTAGAACATTTATTGCGTATGCGCTTTTAAAGAAAAAAAAATCTATCCGCTCTAATGAGTTCCGACTATCTTCCGGGCGTCGAAACCCACTCGGTACCAAAGTAACATGGCTTTAATTCTTAATTTTTAGCTGCACGCCCGCAAGTGTCTTCCTCAAGCTCTCGAAATAATTACCGCTCTGGGCTGATTTTACCAAAATTTTTTTGCATGCGTTAAACGGGTTTCAATCGATATATTAAAAAAAGCGAAATATGGAATAAATAATAACGGAGGTGGTACGTCAGGCTATCAACACTAAAAGCCCCAATAGCATCGGGATTCGTATGAAATCATAATGGATTCAAAAATTTTAATAATATGTAGAAGCCTGGTCGAAAGCAAAAACAAAAATAAAATAAATTACAAAAACAATCACCGAAGTAACCAGCTACGCATTTCTGTGGACGCGAACACCTGCCTTAAATTGAATAACTGGATGGAATGGCAGACTTGCATAATAAGAACAAAGCAAGAGAAAATAGCAATAACAACAAAGGTAGTAACTAATTTAAAGAGGACCTTGGCGAAATTTTAATTAATTTCAGCGTTTAGTCGCGTGCAAAGCTGTGATCAGCATCAACCGTTAAACGAAAACAAAAAATAAAATTAGAACAACAACAAATTCGGAACATAGCACAAACAGTAGCAGTAAGTGTTTTTGTTTTCTGCCGCTGACAGCAGCAAATTTAATTGAAATGTAAAATCGTGCCGCCAGAAACATGCAAAAATAAATATAAAAAAATAAAAGCAGGCATGTAGCTATATATATCCATACATACATATGTATGTTATGTAGGTAAATGCTTATACGCGTTAACAATTATTAACGCCAGCGGGAGGCATTCGGTAGACTTTTGTCAACGCCGCGCACTTGGCACTACGCTCTTATCAGCCGTTATTCATCGACTGTATTTATTGTCAACTTGTCGTTGGGCATAACAGTGTTTTAATTAACAGCAACAACAGCAACAGCGCACTTTATGACATTGAAGTGCACTACATCATCAACTAATCTATTCGCCTCGTCAGCGCGTTTTCGTTCGCTTCCAGCGCGGCAGGAGGAGGCTTATGTAGACATGTTTGTAAGCATGCACCATATTTAACGGTTGGGATAGTACGCAGCTGCAGCGCTAGTCAGCCGCCCACATAACATGGCCAATAATTAATGTCGTACGCGGTGCAATAGTACTACTAAATGCAATGGATGAGTGAGAAAGTGGAAATTCTAGTCTGTACTGCTAAATTTCAATAGATAATTCGAAAAAACAAGCTCTGGTAAGGGGAATACAAAATTTCTAAATTGAGCTGGTTATCTACAGTTGCTGCTGTGCGCGCTAATCTTATCAGTCAGAATATTTTTAAATTTTTTGTGCTGTTGTTTTATTTTATTTTTATTTTTAATATTTCTTCGCGTGACATACTGCTTAATTTGGAGCTCAATATATACACACGATAAAAATACGGTATATGCTTATTTACAAATGCACGTAAATGTACGTAAATAAAGTGATAAAAATCACAGAATTACTCTCTGTTACTGCTGTAATTAATTTATAAGCCGTTCTCACATGGTCGACCACCATTAAAGTGCGAATGTTCATTTCCCAACGTTTGCAACAGTATATATGTATGTACATTCATATGTGCATACTATCTATATATATATATATGTATTTGCTTGGAAGAGCCGCGCACTGTCATGTAACTTACCGTTTATTCAGCAATAAATAGTGAGTACCTGCTTGCATTGGTATACACATACAAATATACTCTTCAAATTTATGCATTAATTCTATTTTGATTAATTCGCTTTATGTTTGCGTAAAATTACGATAATTTAATAACAAATTTCTTTTTGTCTTCTAATGACGAAAATAGTCTTTATAAAATTTAACAAAAGAACATTTCATCTACTTTTTATGTTTTAAACATAAATGGAGAACCAAAAAAACAAAAAAAAAACAAAAAAAAACTTTGACTTCTATAGCATCGAGGCTAACACACACTATCTAACCTTCGAAGCTACCCTTCACACAAACAAAGAAGATACAACAGCTTTATTCCGATTATCCAGTTTGTACGGGAGTTATATATATTATATATGATATCGTTATCTGATCTGAACAATTTTTTCGGATACTATTGCTTTACTATGATCCGTGCTGAATTTCACGGAGATATCTCGTCAAATAATAGGATTTCCATACAATACTTTATTTCTATAGTTCAGTTTGTATGGCAGCTATATGCTATAATGATCCGTTATGGGTGGTTCCGACATATGAACAGCTTCTTGCAAAGAAACAAACGTGTGCAAACTTTTAGATCGAAATCTTAAAAACTAAAGGACTAGATCACATATGTACAGACAGACAGCCGGACATGACTAAATTGGCTCGGTTCTTAACGTTGATCACTTAGATATGTCCTTCTCAGTGTTACAAATATTGTGGCAAACTTAATATATGTACACTGTTCGGGAACTTTTTCTATTGCACTACTTCAAAAGAGAAGTTCTTAACAGCAAAACAATCGCACAGACATTGAGCTGGAATACAGATCATTCAACGTAATATCAGGTTAAAACAGCTGATTCCGACAGCCTCATAACATTCAACGAAGACAATATGTTCACTTTATTTCTATTATTTTTTCATTTTCAATTTGTAATAATAAGCCTAGTACAATATATCGAATCATTGATTTTTTCAGTGCAATTTGCTTCATTCAGCATTTCTTTGAATGAAGCAAGGCAATCATTGTTTTCGGTCAAATTGTTTTACGATATTTTTATTGAAATAATATAATAAAAAAAACTTTGACAATCAATTTAATAAACTAACTTAATTTGATTACACCTATACAAGCACTTGGGTATTAAATTTCCTGTTTTTATAATCCTGTTTTATAATCATACCACTACCTKATGCATTTTCAAAATAAATAAATTAACTCACTTTGTTTATCTTTATATTTGTACTAGAGTTACTGAAAAATATTGTATAATCCAATCAACAAGCAGTGATCGCTGAGAGAAGCATTTAGTTACGCACCTGAAAGTTGAAAGAAAAAAATCAATTAATGTTAATGAGCATATATTATAACTCATAAGCAAGAAATTCAAGTAGCCTAAATCGAGTTCAAAGAAATTTCGCATTCTTAAGTGAATCAGGTATAAGCCTTTACCATTTCTATGTAGGAAGTTGAAGCCTTATATTAAAAGACATATTTTAGAAAAATCTCAAAATTGAGTCTAAGTTGAATATGTTTGTCAAAATAACTCTAATATTCCACACTAGTTTAAGTCCATTTAGCCTCTTTTTACATATAAGTGGGTTTATATATGAATATGTACACAAACTTCTCAAACATGCTTAGATCAATTGAATTTTCACAAACATTTTTTTGCAATAAAATTATAAAGCGAATTAATTTACTCTCATTTAAATTTATTTATTTACTTTAGAAAAATTATGAAACAAAATTCAATAGCAAAACCGCACAAACTGTCACTTGAAATATGAAGCTGTCAAAAGGGGTGCCTTGCAGAAGCTTCGGCTCTTGTCGAGAAAAGCGCCAGCACCATTTTGATGGCAAGAAAACACGACGTGGTGAATGAGATATGCGGTGCGATGTCTGTTTACACTGCTAATTAATCTCCGAGCTTAATTAAAACGTGTTGACATTCTTGAAAACCCAAAACTCAACAACACGCAGGCACTTTCCATCCTCAACCGGTCAACTGGACGAGTAGACGAAGGAGCCGCAGCAATTCACAATTTCACACGCACGAACCAAGCATGCGAGCACGTTGGAGTGTGTTGTTAAGCACTCTTCATGCATGTCCGCTTCTTCATTAGGATGGGACCACTTTTCGTTGCTTTCGTAAAGTGAAACGATGTTGTAGTCGCAGGCGTCACAAAAATTGTATTTGGAAATTTGGTCAATTCTGTATAATTACCGCCAGGACTCCAAAATTATTGACATGGGTTGGGCTGAAGCGTAAACCAACCAATTTATTGATATGTGCAAAAAACTGTAGTTCACACCAATTTGTCTTTAAATACAGTTGTGGGTTTACAAGTCACAGAGATGACATATGTTTGAGAGCTCCCTCTATATCTGCTTCAATAGTTAATTTTTGGACCCAATCGCATTGTTACATCTGGCTTTTTATGAAATGACACTAAAGTTCACTCTCATTAAGCAAGCTACATTAAAAGGCAAAACCCTACAACCCACCGCCTTATCAATAAGGTGTGTGAAAATTTTACAGTTATAAATTAAATAGAGATGAGAATATTCAAACTTGGCAGCAGAGCCGAAAGTGGCAACACATAACGACGATGTTATGTTAAACAACCTCCGGTATCTACGATTATGTGGTGTGAAGAAAAGGGCAAGTGCGAAAATCCGCAAGGAAACTAGAAAACACAGCTCGGGACATAAGCATCATTAATCAAACGGACAAGAGAAACGAAACGCTCATGTACCCATTTCCACACACCCACCCACATTCATTCATTTAGGGAACCCTTTTAGAAAAGGACTGGCGAATGCACCACATTCCGAGACCGAATGATACATACGACAAAATAAGTGCCGCAGATATTAAAGAAGCGAGTTGGAATCGCCGTGAGCGTTTGTGTAAATATCTGGCAGCTAAGCCGTCCTGAGAGATAAACATAGCAATAATAGAAGCCACTGTGAAGAAGAAATAAAAGACGACTTTTTGGCATTGAGTCCAAAGGAGCTTGTCACTCAATGTGGTTGTACCTGAAGGATAAACACGGCTTCCGACATTGAAGTGAAATACTTGAGGCTTCAGCTACAAGGAACAGTAAAGCGGAAGTACGGCGTGAAAGTAAAATACTTTTTTCAATTAACCATGCAAATTAGCCATGCATTCACGCGCAAAACGGTGGCTACTTCTCGAGGCTTTTAAGTGCAACTTGACGAAAATAGGAGGAATGCTGTACTGTTTTACATAAACATTTGTCGACCTTTCAGCATAAAGTAGCTTTACAAAAAAGTCAGCAACGGGGGTTATCTCATCGCTAACAGCCCCTACTGGCGACCATAAGAAAAAGGGCGAACATCATCAACCGATGGAGCATGGCTCTATGTAAACCTTCGTTGCGGTTGGGACCGAGTCGCAGGAAAGAACACTTTGCACACAAAAAGCAAACACACAGAGACGAAAGTATTTGCAAACACACGAGACGTGTGTCCAAAACAATGTCGCTTAAAATAAATGCAGCGTGGAAAGCTGCCTCCATTGTCGACCGAGCTATACTGCAGTACATGATGAGATACCATAACTCGAATTGTAATATATGTATACATTATTTTCTCAGAAAACTCGGGCTTTCCCATTTGCTCAAGTTTTAAAAGTTCATACTTTGCAATAATAATGTAATTTTTTACTCATCATCTGCCTATAAGGGTGTTTCACTCATAACTTCCCGCAATGGTTCACACCGAAACCAGCTTTGCTTACAGTTCAGCTAGATACCAAACCTACCATATCCATTGGAGAGTTCTAAGGATTTGTAGCCGACTTCCCGATAGGGTAGAAAACTTCGTTTATTAGATCTATAATAATTCTTGGAAAATAACATAAATAGGAGGCTCATACTTTATCAAATAACGAAAAAAATGTAAATAGTGCTAACATGTTTTTCACAACTGTACAAACAGCCATATTTACATACAAACCACAAATAAGTATGCCTGCAACCGACGGACGTTAGACATTTGACAGGTGAGGTTTTACCACGTGCGTGCGTGTCTAGTGCTGCTTACACGCAAAACGTTTCGACGTGTCACACAGGCAAGCAAACAGCTAGATCAGCATAAAAGTTCACATAACGGTAAAGGAATGTAAGCAAAAGTACTTTCCAAACATATACATATTTACATATTTATACATGCATGCCATGTGACAGACGGAATGTGATGGCAGCAGTTATCAGATGACCCAAACGGACAACAATAACAGCATGTGTTAGTAGTCAAGTTCTGGTTAGTGCTCAGCCTGAACGTTTCGAACAAAATAACATACTCGCAATGAAGCAGAAAAAGTTTAGTTAGTCTACGGCGGCACTGCCCGACCAGCAATAGCTTTGCTCCAATAAATTAAAGGTACACTCATACTCACAAAGGAACAAATATAAATATATGAATATGAATGTGCACACATAGTGTGTCTGTATGAAAAGCTACCTACTTTTGTGCTGAGACATGTTTCAGGCAGGCCGTCCAATTACGGAAACAATTAAGGTACATTGTTAGCAGGGAATCAGCGGCAAATAGTAAGTACAAAGCGAACTTCACAGAATCAACTGAAAGAGTAAAGTGCAATAAAATTAGAGGCGAAATGAGATGATTGAGTGGAGATGGTCGCTACGTGTTTTCAAGAAGAACAATTAAATATGTGACAACTAAGTAGAAGCGCACACATGTTCTTAGAACGGATTTTCACCGCAAAAAACTTCGGAAAAACGGAGGGTTGGCTGTGAAAACGTTCGCTAAAAACATTATATATGTACACACATACATTACGAAACAGTTTTTAAGTAAATATGAACTTTCTTAAACACAGTTTGACAGCTGTCACTTGGTTATCAACCACTTTCAAGTTAAACGTTTTCCTATTATTAATTTTGTATTCCACTGTTTTCGAAATTTTTGTAAACGCTTAAAAACTTGGTTTCCCCACTTGGATTTTTAAAATCGTTGACATACTTATTCCATACATATTTGCCATAAAGCAGAATACATTCAAAATAAAGAGTGATCAAAGAGCTAAGAGCGCAGATATCAACTCATTGCAATTAAAATCAAATACCGTTTCTACGCCTCTTCGCGAACTTCGTCGGTTACATAACGGATAATGAAAGGAGGACGCAAAGGTCAACAGGCGATTAAGTCAAATTAAAATCCAATAGAAATAATTTCAGTTTCGGATGCTTCTTCTGATCTAACTTTTGTTAAATCATAGAGGTTTTTTTTTTCATCATCAAGCACAAAGCCAACGTCGGGTGTGGTAGATTACATAAGAAATTACATGATACAAATAACCCTTACGATGTCCTTGTTTTTGGACCGCAGGCTGCTTATGGTTTATAGGTAATTTCTAAACTCAAAGTCCTTATTAAAGTTAGTTTTCAACGATTTCTTAATAAACCCCTGGAGCTTCGCTATACTCAGTCGAGTACAAAGAGAATAGTGTCGCACTTATAATGGCCACTTCAAATTATTTAAATTATTCACTAAAGAATTGCAAAGTAATTTGAAATGAATTCCTTTTATCAAAGAGCTAAAGCAAAGCCGAATTCCCTTTAAATTAAGTTTAGTTTACTTGGCGTGTATAATATCGGAGCTTGCTGCTCATCATCTATGGAACCATTCACTTTAAGCACACTGTTAAAGATACCCCAGAAAAGTATTTTTGACAATTTCGCAGACTATAGTAAAGCCGTTTAACAAATTTCCATAGCGACCGTCGGTAAAGACAATATATGCAGAACAAAGCCCGATGTCCACAATTGTCCGTTATTTTAGTACCTAAATTTAGTGCAACTTTTGTAAAGTGTTCTTCATTAAATGAGATTTTCTCATCTACAACGAGAGTATCATCCCTTAGAAAAGAACGCCCAAACACATAAGAATGGATGTGTGAGTGTATGCGCAACGCTTAAGCGAAACAAAGCTGAAGAAACTGCAAAACTAACCAACAAAAAAGCGCTGTCTTTATTCCGCCGGCATTAACTGCCGATGCCAGCGTCTGCTAGTGGGACCCCATTTCCAAAGAACCACCCATCAGCCGCCGATGCGTAGACTAAAGAGGAACAATCAAAATTCAGACAGCGCCATGTGACCATGTGGCAACCAACGAACTAGCCAACGTGAAGCCAGTGAGCTTTCGATCAAGCGTCCACCCGCAACCCGTCTGAAACTACAACCAATTTATTTTTCTTCTTTTTTGCTTTCGTGTTGCTTATGCAACGTGCCTAGGCTTTATGGATACTTAATTTATTTTTTATACAGC